CACACACACACACACAGACACACACACAACGGGCTCACAGTCGTGCACACACAAGAGTCACACAGGCATGCACAACAGCTACACAGTTGTGTACACACAAAAGTCACACACACACACAGTGGTGCACGCAGACACACACGCCCAACAAGCACACAATCGTGCCCACACAAGAGCCACACACACACCCTCAGGCACGCAGTCGTGCACACAGACAGACCCAGCCCCCCCCCCCTCCCCGGGATGGACCTTCTCCTTGGCGCGCAGCTCGTCGAACATGCCCTGGATCTCCTCCTTCCAGTCCTCCTGCAGCGAGTGGAAGGAGTCCTGGGGCATCTCCTCCAGCACCTGCTGCTCTAGGGCGGTCAGCTGGCTCAGGATGGAGGCGAAGCTGGGCCGGCGGTGGGGGTCCTGGTCCCAGCACTCTGCCACAGACGCCCAAGTCAAACACGGGGCGCTCTCGAGAAGGCTCCGGCTCCTCATTCTCCCCAGCATGCACAAGGCAACCCGACACACAGCCACCAGCCCCACGAGGGGACCAGAGATCAGCTCGGGCTGTCCCACGCAACCAGTCTCTGACCGCCCTTTCATTCCCAACAGTATCCATAGTGAACTCAATAGTACAAAATCGGAATTTTAAGGCAGGAAGCGACTCGTTCTCATCTAAAAGGGTGCAATGTGAAACTGCTTAGATTAGATTACGTCTTCAAGTTTCGTTAAAACATATGGACACAGCCGCAGGGTATCATGACACACGAGTCAAATCCATTTTAACAAATGTGATTTCTTAACGTTTCCATTTTAAGGCTAAAACAGTCATTCTGGTGGCTTTTGAAGACGGGATTTTTTTTTTACTTTTCACACCAACACACTTGAAATACCGGTGTGCACATGTTGTTGTTTTTTTTGGAAAACAGTCCCCTGGTGAAACACTGCCCGATTTTGATTACTGAGGATAAAAACGCAACATCTGCGATCCCTCATTTCCCCCCCCCAGAGGAAGCAGGGCCAGCCGACGCGCAGCCACCAGTCCAGCTGTCCCGCGAGGAGATCGCGGATCTGCACAGTCGACACCCCGGGCTGGACCACACAACCAGTCTCTGATCTCCCTTTCACATCCCTTCAGATCAGAAAAACGGCACCCCAAAAAAATAGACTTCGCCTTTCCTGGTGACCCCCCATCCTCTTGCACGCTGGAGTGCAGGGGGACTGAGCGCAGACAGAGCCCCCCGACACACCCACATGTCAGAGGCCCCGCCATCTGGCGACCCAGCGGGTCAGGAGGAGCGACACCCTCCCGCCACGCTTGTCCTGTACCACAACCCCCCCAAAAACACTCTTTTACTCTCCTCCTGCAGCCTCGTGACTGGGGCGCTATACTTTACCGCCCCCACCAGGGGTGGGGGGGGGGGCAGGAGAAAGGCTTCGACACAAAACGCGTCGGAGAGGGGGCCGGCCCGGGGCTCGGCTCGGGCGACCTCGCCGCTCACCTGCCATCAGCTGGGCGAAGGGCTCGGGGCAGGTGGAGGGGATGGGCAGGGTCAGCTTGTTGACCGCCACCCCGTAGGCCACGGCCAGGCCGTCGATCCCCCGGTAGGGCACCTCGCCGGTCAGCAGCTCCCACAGCAGCACGCCGTAGCTGCAAGACGGGACAGGGGACACGGGTTACTCCCCTCGCTGGGCCGAGCCGGGCCGGGCCGGGCCGGGCCGGGAACGACCCCCGGGCAGCGGCTCTGTGATCCCTCTGCAGGGGCAGAGCTCAACATCACTGGCCTGAGGGCCACACAGCCAGCACAGCGGCCCTGCCCGAGGGCCACACAGACACACAGCACAGCGGCCCAGCCCGAGGGCCACACAGACACACAGCACAGCGGCCCGGCCCGAGGGGACACACACACACACAGCACAGCG